AGAAAACAAACAAACACAGTAAATTTTATCTCTTTTTACTCCAATCATCTGCTTAAACAGTAAGCAATAAACCAAGCAAATGGCTTTTTTCTGCAGCTCATTCGTTTTTACCATTAAATAAATAAAATATTTTATTTTTATGCCATAAAATTGGGGACTTGGATTGGATTTCTTCACTTGACCCTAGGTACGCGGTGTGGACTGATCAGTGACAGTCAGAACTTATTTCTCTGCTTACAGACAGCTCATTGACACTCACTCAAAACTATTGGCCTACTACAAATAAAGAAGCAAATCTTCAAAGGAGATCCAGCAGAAAAGCACTTCTACTTAATCCTCTAAAAAGCATTCAAAGAAAAAGGAGAACAGAACAAATAGAAAAAGCAGAAGAAGTGAGGAGCTTTCCAGAGGGAAAGATAAAGACTGAATCTTTATCTTCTGGGAGGCTTTTATTTTGCACTTCAGCCCCATTTCTCCATTGTTTGCTCTCAAAGATCCAGAGAGGAACATGGGATTGTACACAAGTGTGTGTTGTGTCATATTGGTTGCTCTGCTTACTGTGACCTGCACTAGTGGGGAAGATCCTTACAGGTTCTACAACTGGAATGTCACCTATGGTGATATCTATCCCCTTGGGCTGAAACAAAGGGTACGTTTATCATCTCTCTCTCTCTCTCTCTCTCTCTCTCTCTCTCTCTCTCTCAGACACATAAACAAGCACTTCTTTTGTTTGTTCAGTTTCTCTGTTCTGGGCAGTTTTGTTGTTGATGAAAAATTGCAATGGCCGGTTGCTAAAAATGAGTTTTCAAACAAAAATGCAGGGGATATTGATAAATGGGCAATTTCCAGGGCCGCAGATCGAATCAGTCACCAATGATAACCTCATTATCAACGTTTTCAATAGCTTGGACGAACCTTTTCTCCTCTCTTGGTTAGTAATTCCTCTGTTCTTAAAAAAATAATAATAAGTTTTTGTACTTGTAATTTTGGACTGCAACACTAATACTTAGAAATGAGATTCAATCATTACTGGGAAGTGATATTATCTTTTTTAACAGTTGTTATTACAAAAGCACCTATTTGAATAAGCACACGTTTTAGTCACTTTGTTCAAGTGGCAAAAAGTGAAAATCTTGAAAAATGATTGGTCTGTTCAAAATTGTACTGTAAAAAAACCAAAATGAAAAAAAAAAGGGTTTTCTCCTGTTGACTTTCTAATGGATGGATTGATAAGCAGAGGCCAAAGTAACCCTTTTATTAGCAGAATGCCATCACCAAGTTTATTGCCCTAGCAGTTAGACTAACCATCAAGTCCTGCAATTCTTGTTTAGGAATGGTGTGCAGCAGAGAAGGAACTCATGGCAGGATGGGGTCTTTGGCACAAATTGCCCCATTCCACCTGGACAGAACTTCACTTATGTTCTCCAAGTCAAAGATCAGATTGGCAGTTACTTCTACTTTCCTTCCCTTGGCTTCCACAAGGCTGCAGGAGGGTTTGGTGGCATCAAAATTGCAAGCCGCTCGGTTATCCCAGTACCTTTCCCTCCTCCTGCTGGAGACTTCACCATATTGGCCGGAGATTGGTTCAGTAAAAATCACACTGTAAGTAGCATGCTTAAAGACTATGCCAATTATCACACACCTACACACACACACACACACACACACACATTTGTTTTAATGTGCCAGAAAACTAGAGATGATTTATGAGTTAACAATTAGTATGTGCAGTTGTTCACTGAGAGGTCTAAAAATCTGATCACTCTAGCACTACTCAAGATTTATAATCGTTGTCAAATTCGTAGCAGAAGGCATGTGATATGAGTTCATTTTGATGGGATTGTTTTGAATCCTACAGGATTTGAAAGCAATTTTAGATAGTGGGAACAATCTTCCCCTCTCTGACGGGCTCCTTATCAATGGCCGTGGATCAAACGGATTCACATTTACAGTTGATCAAGGTAATTAATCAATTCAACAAGTGTTGTGAGCACCATTTCTGCGTGGTCATGGAATTGATGTAACTTGTTTCATGTGTCATACTTGCTTGGCAGGCAAGACTTACAGGTTGAGGATATCGAATGTGGGGCTTACGACTTCTATCAATTTCAGAATCCAGGGGCACAAGATGTTGCTGGTTGAGGTGGAAGGCACCCACAGCCTTCAGAACACTTATAGTTCCCTTGACATTCATTTGGGGCAGTCTTACTCTGTATTAGTTACAGCTGATCAACCAGCACAAGATTACTACATTGTTGTCTCTACGCGTTTCACTTCACAAGTGCTCAGCACAACCTCCATTCTTCACTACAGTAACGCAGCAGGAAGCGTTTCTGGTCCTCCCCCTGGTGGCCCAACAACTCAGATTGACTGGTCTCTTGAACAAGCCCGATCTCTCAGGTGCTTATTATTATCATTATTTTCTGTTCGTAAGCGGATGCGTTATACATGGTAGTGCCAGTTTTCATTGTTGACATAGATTCTGCTATATAGATAATCGTTTGGTGAGTGTCTATTGAGATGGCATACAAAATGATCATGTTGTTTGCACTAACATTTTCTTTTAAGAAATCATATCATTGAACATGATATGCACAAAAAGATGAACTATTTCAATATACTAGGCCTATTATACACCACTTCTCATATTATTTTGAATGAATGACATGTTAAAACCAGGCGGAATTTGACAGCAAGTGGTCCAAGACCTAACCCCCAAGGCTCATATCATTACGGATTGATCAACACCACACGTACAATCAGGCTAACAAGTTCTGCTCCAATTATTGATGGCAAGCAGAGATATGCTGTGAATAGTGTGTCCTTCATCCAACCCGACACACCACTTAAACTTGCCGATTACTTCAAGATCTCAGGGGTGTTCTCCATTGGAAGCATCCAAGACAACCCCACTGGAGGCGGTGCTTATCTTCAGACTTCTGTCATGAATGCTGATTTCCGAGGCTTCGCTGAACTAGTGTTCGAGAATCCTGAGGATACTGTGCAGTCATGGCACATTGATGGCCATAGTTTCTTTGTTGTGGGGTAAGTTCTCTGCCTCAGAAATTCAGACATTTTTCAACTGTTATGCAATTTGAGAAATTCAATAAGAACATATATCTTAACCATGGTAATTCTGATATGGGCAGGATGGATGGTGGACAGTGGGAACCTGCAAGCAGATTAAGATACAATTTGAGGGACACGATTTCTCGTTGCACTGTTCAGGTACATCGATAAATGCAGCTCCTTAAAAACTATATGTGACTTACAATTATGTTCTCGTGATTGTTTTTTAACATGGATGCCATTTCTTATCACAGGTGTATCCCAACTCATGGACTGCAATTTACATGCCATTGGACAATGTGGGGATGTGGAATGTGAGGTCCGAGAACTGGGCTCGCCAGTACTTAGGCCAGCAATTCTATCTTCGCGTCTACTCACCTGCAAATTCATGGAGGGATGAATATCCAATCCCAAGGAATGCTCTTCTTTGCGGTCGAGCATTAGGTCGTCAAACGCGGCCTCTATAAGCAAAACCAGAATCTTTGAAAGGTAAAACTGTGACCAAAGGCTGTCATGGTCATTATATGTGAACTAGGAAAGGAGAGGATATATCTGCAAATTAAAGATGTAGTCAGGGCTTAACTCAAGCCATTTTCACGAGCTGTGTGATCCAAATCAAACTCATTGGATATAATTTGTATGGGTTTTGTATTCTTTGCTCACATTATTCTTAACAAAAAAAAAAAAAAAAAAAAAAAGCCCAACTCTGTTCCTATGAATATTTCCCCCGATTGTGTAACACGGCACGTTGTGATATTACTGGTAACAACAGTTCCATGGTTGCTGTCATGTCTTTTTAATATTGACAGAAGCAAAATGTCTTGCTATAGTTTCAAGCCAGAAGATTGAAAATAGAAGCTAATCTGAGAAGATGACACAAGGACATGCGACTTTAATGGATTTCAAGCAAATACTCAACTCAAAATCAATTGATAATAGATGAAATCACTCCCACCCAAAATCAATCAACAATGAATGGATACACTTTTTTTTTTTTTTTATTAAGCCGAAGAATGGATACACTTTCAGTGCCATGCGCTTTCCGACCCTACTTGTTCCCGAGAACTTAACTTGCTCTGCATGAACATTCATCTGAGTGTCGGAGATATACGGGGATAGAGAGAGATATGATGAGATATCCGCCAGGCAGATCCACTTGTGCTTGCAAATTGCAAAGTGGAAGGTGGGTAATTTAATTTGGTTAAGAGTAATATTTATGGTCGAGCGTCGGTAGGGTTGACCAACTTCAATGTGCATGGCATGGAGAAGCCTCACATAACTGGTTAGGTCTATGTTTGGGCTCTGCTCTTTAAACTTTAAAGCATGCATACGGTGGAAGAAATATATAAATCAAATGTGAAAAGCGGTCTAACCTAGTAGAAAATAATCTTGATTTGCATATTAATATTCTCATGTTTAAATCTTATGATACTTTGACATTATATGTGTGAGAAAATTCTCTCCCTCTTTCTAACTTTGACAACAAAAAAAAAGTGATCAGATCGACCACACAGCCTTTTGGAGAAAGGGACCTTTTAAGATTAGCTCAAAGGTTTATAAATTATAGCCAGTCGAGTTTACTCATGCAATTAGGACTTGGATTCTCATGCTTTTAATTAAATTCATGTCATAATGAGAAGCTAAAAGAACTGTACATAAGTCAAACGGTCAACGCAAGCTGAACTTGATCTATATATCCAATCCAAGTCGGGTTTTGACTGAGTTGACTTCCTCCATTTGCCATTTAATTGTCCCCCAAATCTCCCAACGGTTCCAACGCGTGACATGAACATGCACCCATTAAAAGCTGTTCAGTAGTACTGTATTATTGGTTAGTGAGTGAAGCCTATAAAAGGATCGCCTTTTCAACAATGAAGAACACAACCTCAGCAATCTGAGAATTTAGTGAAGCCTTTTTTTTTAACGAAGCCATGGGCATCGCTCCAAAATGGCTTTTTTTGAGTCTTGTTGTCCTGTACATTGTCCTCCAGTTGAGTGCAATCAGCACTCTAGGTGATGACAAAGTTGACAAAACTAGATTTCGGGGTGATGATGATGATTGTCCATGGGGCCGGCGATCATGCGGTGGTCGGTTTGGTCGAGGGCCTCGTGGTAATGGCGGTAGGGGTGGCGGCATTGGCGGAGGAAGAGGTTTCGGTGGTGGCGGAGGTCATGGCGGAGGAAGAGGGGCTGGGGGTGGTCTAGGTGGTGGAGCAGGAGGGGGTGTTGGTGGAGGCGGTGGCTTTGGTGGTGGCGGAGGAGGTGGACTTGGAGGTGGTTCGGGTCATGGTGGAGGCTTTGGAGCTGGAGGAGGTGTAGGAGGCGGTGCTGGAGGTGGGGGTGGTCTTGGTGGTGGCGGAGGAGGTGGGTCAGGTCATGGTGGAGGTTTTGGAGCTGGAGGAGGTGTAGGTGGTGGAGCTGGAGGAGGTTTAGGTGGTGGTGGTGGCGGTGGAGCTGGTGGAGGAGGTGGTGGTGGAGTTGGTGGTGGTTCAGGGCATGGTGGAGGTTTTGGAGCTGGAGGTGGTGTAGGTGGTGGCGTTGGAGGAGGTGGTGGTCTTGGAGGTGGCGGTGGTGGTGGTTCAGGAGGAGGCGGTGGTCTTGGTGGAGGCTCAGGGCACGGAGGTGGGTTTGGTGCTGGTGGTGGTGTAGGAGTTGGAGCTGGCGGAGGTGTTGGTGGTGGAGGAGGTGCAGGAGGAGGTGGTGGTGGCGGAGTTGGTGGAGGTTCAGGCCATGGAGGCGGATTTGGTGCAGGTGGTGGTGTAGGAGGTGGAGCTGGCGGAGGGATTGGAGGTGGAGGAGGTGCAGGAGGAGGAGGTGGTGGCGGTCACGGTGGAGGATTCGGAATTGGAATTGGGATTGGCGTTGGAGTGGGAGCTGGCGCGGGTAGCGGCCAAGGGTCTGGAAGTGGGTCTGGTGGAGGTGGTGGAAATTAAAACCATTTAACTTATAAGCAGCTTCTGCCTGGTGCATGGCTGAACTAAATATTATATGAGTTCTCAGATTGTAATTTCTGAAGATTGTAAGTCCAATTTTTATAAGCTACGCAATTAAGCTAATTTTCCCAGAAAACTATGGAATTAAGGGAGCATTGAGGTTCCTTAAGATGGTTTTGTTTTGAGTATTGAAATTCATTTCACATGTTAAACACAAAATACATGTTTTCAACATCCAAATTATCACTTTCATCCCCTTAACTCAACTCAACTGGTGAACAGGTCATAGTGGCCCCATGACATGCGAAATCCAGGGGACTAGTTACAAATCTCAAGCTTATTTCTTTCTCCACACCTATCACTCTGATTTTTTTTGGATGGGAATTTAAAGCCCATCTACCCATCTTTTTCGAACAGAAATAATGTGGCTACCACATGCTGGTTTTGTACTAGTCATATGTTCATACTAACCTCCATACTGTACCACATGCAATCATGACTGTGCCTTTCATCCATGGCCAAACCAACCTTTTTGTATACAAATTTTTTATTTATTGTATTCATCAATAAGGCCACCAACTTGTAGTACAAGTGTAACAACTTCAAGAAGTCAATGTTTCTTTTAATATTGTTTATACAAGTATGCTCGGAGAGGGAGAATTCGAACACTAGACCTTAAGTGCATATGTAACTGCTTTAAATTACTTGAGCAACAAACCCTTTTGCGAATAAAATGTTAGTTATAAGAAATGCGGGACAATTTAATGCTACATTCAAATTGGGAAAACAAGACAACACAATTAAGGAAGGTAACCTTTTTTATTTATTGAGTCATAAGAAAGGTAACTTTGGAAGTCAAAAATACAATCAAGGGATGAATTGAAGGAATTAACCAAACAAGACAATAAAAGTCAAATAAACCCTTAATGAGCATGAAGAGTGTTGAGGAAGATAGTTGAAGACATTTAACAAACAAGAGCAATGAATATATTCCCAAATGAAGATGCTACATAATCCAATTTCAAGATATATTTTTCTTGCTTCACAATTTTTTAAAATTAATAATAATAAATAAATAAACAGAACCAAAGACACATTTACCCCCTCAAAGGAAGATTAGGCATAGAATAATTTCTCGGAGTTTTCTTTTTTTAATTTTCTCTTTTCTCTTCTCTCTTAAGCAACAAATAATTCCAAGAAACGAAGGCGTTTTCTCGTGTTTCAATAAAAACGCTTTGCCTTTCGAGTACCTGATGGAGTTCCTGCCGTCGATTCAAAGATAAAATCACATGGGTCCCACAAATCGACGGTCAGAAATAAAGACGCGTACGGTGCTGCCAAAGACGTAGCACACGTTTCGCAGTCCAGAGGCGACGCCAACGTGGATTCCCGCTGCTTCATCACTCTCCTATATAATAAGAGGCACTTTCCCGCCGCTCCCTTCTAGAGAGAGAGAGAGAGAGAGAGAAAGAGAGGCTTTGTCGTCGACTCGTATATCCTCACTCAATTAAACCTCGAAACTCGTGATCGCAAAACCCTAACTCGCTCTGCACCACCAATGGAGCTTCGTTCTCGCAAGAGAGTCGCCGGGCCTTCTACCGATGGTAAAGCTTCACACTCGATTACCTTTTCCCTGTGTTGTTTCGTTTAGGATTTGTCATGTTTGGTTACTGAGAAAGTGTATAGGTACAGTGGGAAAATTATTTGAATTTTCTTCCTGGGGATTGAGAGGGATATGAATTTTGTTACAGATTGTTGTCTATCTATTCACGAGCATGATGCTATAACTTAAATACAACTGTCCATATTGGTTTGGCGTTTATTCTGAAAGCAGGAAATGAGAAACATCAGGAAGAGGAAGATATAATCCAGGGCACCGAAAGCTCTGATGAAGATACTTATTTACCGTCTGCGTCTTCTGCTTCTGATAGCGAAGAAGGTAAAATTAATCTTTCGTAACTACTAGAAATGCATAAGAAGTTTCGAAAAGGATTTACTTGAATTTGATTTTGGGGGTCTGAGGGATTTAGATTTTTGTTCTGTTTTCTATGACTACTTCTTTGGGTGAATAATTTTCCCAAATGTTATTTCCTTTAGCAGAATAGTACTTTTATTCTGGTTTTGCCCCCTCCCACACTTCTTTATTTTGATATTTTCCTTTGAAATGAGCAATGTCCGTTTAATGGAAGGCTGGAGTCTGTCTTCTTGCTGGCTTACATGTTTTACTGACATACATTGATATATTGATGCACGTAGGTGAAGAGCATCGATATAATGTTGACTTAAATGATAAACCAAGTGTTATAACCCCTATACCCAAAAATGGGAAGGTGGGGCGAAAGAAGGTCAGAGGAGAACCAATTTACGAAGAGAAAGCACACAAATTGACTCAGCAACCAGTCGAAATTGACTATTTTGGGTTGCACAAGAAAAAAAAGAAAAAGAGTTCTAAAGATAGGGAGGCAAAGCAGCGCTTGAAGTGGAATATCTGGGAAGAGGAGCATGATAAATGGATTGATGACAATGTAACTGAGGATTTTGATCTGGAAAATCAGAATAATGTGATAAGTGAAGTTTCTGAGGCACCATCTGATCTAATTATGCCTTTACTAAGGTACCAAAAGGAATGGTTGGCCTGGGCCCTCAAACAAGAAGAGTCTGAAACCAGAGGAGGAATCCTCGCAGATGAGATGGGAATGGGCAAGACTATACAAGCGATTGCTCTTGTCCTTGCTAGACGTGAAATTAATTGGACATTTAATGAACCAGGTTCCTCCACAAGCTTTCCTGGAATCAAAGGCACCCTCGTAGTCTGTCCTGTGGTTGCCGTGAGCCAATGGGTAAATGAGATAGAGAGGTTTACTTCAAAAGGAAGCACAAAGGTTCTGGTTTATCATGGGGCCAATAGAGAGAAGAGTTCTAAACAGTTCTCGGAATATGATTTTGTCATTACTACATACTCCATTGTTGAGGCCGATTACAGGAAGAACGTGATGCCTCCCAAACAGAAATGCCCTTATTGCGGAAAGTTGTTTCATGAGAAGAGACTGTCCGTTCACTTGAAATATTTTTGTGGGCCTCATGCATTTAGAACTGAGAAGCAGTCTAAGCAACAAAGGAAAAAGCATCTACAATCAATACCACAGAAGACATTTGAGCCTGTTAAAGACAAGAAGCATGGAGGTTCCAGGAAGAGATCAAAGCTGCACAAGGATGATGATATGGATTCAGAAGATGTTGGACAAGGCTTCAGCAGAGCAAAGTCGGTTTTGCATGCTGTGAAGTGGAACCGCATTATTTTGGATGAGGTGCGTTGACTTAATTTAGTTGTAATAGGGTATTGGTGAAAAAATTGTTGCTATGATTATCTTGAAATAAAGAAATAACAATCAGTATCTTTCAGCTAATTATAGGTGAAAGTTGCTTTCACTAAAATTTATATTAATATCCTTTTTTTTTTTTTTTTTTTCTGATCTAGCTTGATTTATGTTCTGTGTTTTTCTTAGATCCTTTTTTGTTCAATTTATTGTCAGGAAGCCCTATTTTTTTTTCTTTTTTTTTTCCAGCACTGATACTGTTCTTTTGAAACAAATGTCTCTAACTTGTTGTTCAAACGTAGGCGCATTATATAAAATCTAGGCGTTGTAATACTGCAAGAGCTGTTCTTGCCTTAGAGTCTTCATACAAATGGGCTCTAAGTGGCACACCCCTTCAGAACCGTGTTGGAGAACTGTATTCTTTGGTAAGGTGTACTTTATTTTAGATATATTGACTATATAGTCAGGCTTTTTTCTGGCCATCTAGCTTATATATTTGCAATTGCATTTGCACAGGTGCGGTTCTTGCAATTAGTCCCCTACTCGTATTACTTGTGCAAAGACTGTGATTGCATAACTCTTGATCATAGGTATGATCTAAAGAATACATGTAGTTATAACTTGCGTTCCTACATTGTTGGATACATTTTTCCTTGTTAGGCATATATGACAAGGGGCTTCTGTCAATAATTAGTGCTGGATCCTTGTAAATAAACAATTAACTTCTAGCTCTTGTCACTTATTTTATCCTTTTTCCCATTCCTCATAACCATTAAGTTTTTATTTGAGTTATTTTCTGTCTTAAGTGCTTAAATATTTCTACTGTAATACATATTACATACTTGTGACCCTGATGCAGTTCCTCAACACAATGTTCAAATTGCCCTCATAATTCAGTCAGACATTTTTGTTGGTGGAATAAAGTGAGTTTGCAATTTGTTATTCTTTTCTCTTGTTATTTCCTTATATGTTGATTTATTTACAGAAATAATTGTGCTTACTTGTGTTGTAACCCTTGAACCTTTCAAGTATGTGGCGACGCCAATACAGTTATATGGAAATCAATTCCGAGGAAAAAGGGCGATGCTATTGCTAAAACAGAAAATTTTAAAGAACATAGTCCTGCGACGAACTAAAAGGGGCAGGGCTGCTGATCTTGCTCTTCCTCCTAGAATTGTAAGTTTTGTTTCAACATGACAATGTCTGCATTTCTGAAGTCTAGATTTCTTATGTTCCTTTTCCATTCTGCTGCCTATAGGTTTCATTGAGGAGGGACACCTTGGATATCAAAGAACAAGATTATTACGAGTCACTATATAATGATAGTCAGGCACTATTTAACACGTATGTCACCCTTTTTCTTCCTCTGCTTTCCTTCCCCATTTGATAAAATGAGATTTCTGCTTTAGTAATCATTTTGAAATTGCATGCGAATTGCAACTTGCAATTTTAAAGTGGTGACTAATTTTTTATCCTCCATGTTGTAAATATTTTTAGCTCCTTCTCTTATTGTTTTTGGAATTCCTCATGTTTAAATATGTTCAATTTTCATGTCCTTGGAAATTCTAATTATGGTGACAACTTGTTTGTTGAATTGAACTGTGTTCTACTACTATGGCCTGTACGACGTCTCAGGACAATGCTTTGCCTATGTTGGCGTGCTAATATCCATTTATAGTTGTT